CTGTCCATCCTGCTCCACCTCTGCGAGTTACTAGGATTTATTCCCTGCCCTTTGTTTCCTGACTGTGTCCCACACAACTGCATGCTCTGTTGTGTGTGCTGGCATCTTAGCAGGCACCTCATCAAGATCCCATTGGCTCCTGCCATCCTTACAGCATTTATTCACAGACTCCTGCATTTGTTCCCTTCTGGTGCCTCACACCCAGCCATTACCATTCCTTCCCCATTCTTATCAACCTTCCTATCTCTATTACTACTACAATCTTGTTCTGTCTTTAGAAGACACGTAAATCTGTAAGAATTTTTTTTCTGAATGAATTCTATAAGAGATGTTTTTGTGGGGGAGAATTAGCATTATGGACATTAAAAGGCAGGAAATTGTGCATAATTCTTTTTAAATCAGCTGCTTCAAGGGAGAAAATAAATGTTTTTGAGAACAGCTTTCCTTTATATGAGAAAGCAGAAGCTCCATTCCTCTCTCTTTCTCACACCATCTGTGTATATTAACTCTGACTATTTTAGAAACAAAACATCTCTTTACATCTTTCACTTAAGCCAGGCTAACACAGTCCACATACATAACCACCAGTACAAGTGCAGGAGCCCCATAGAAAAGGAGGATGCAAAGCTTTCTTTCCCTCTTTACTTGTTTCAAACCTTGTTCTTGCATAGCTTCTTTTGATGCTCCTGAGTTTTTCTATCTGGTTCTGCCAAAACCTGAGTCCATGCGGCACCTGAGTCCAACTAACGGTCTTTGAATAACCAGTCAATAATGACTAAGTAATAAATGAATAACTAAAAAGCCCCAACAGTTATCTCCCACCACCCATGGGTTATGATCTACCTTTTGTAACCTGGTTTGGGTCTTCCTGAGACCCAGGTGTCATCTCTATTATGAAAGGGCATTGTGCTGCTCTGCAAAGGGTTATCAAAATGGAAATCAGCATTAGAAGTAGCATATATGTTTATTTGGAAAGAAATACTTCAGATCAGTTAGTTGTAAGGGATTTTTTTTTCTCCAAATACTGCTTTTCCCCAGTATTAAGTTTCTGAGTCTGTCTTTAGAAAGACTCTGAATCTTTTTAGCTCTGATTTCTGTTACTTGCCATATCTTAGCTTGTTTCTCCAGCACACATCTAGCATGGCACATACATTTCCCACTCCAGTGAGTGAATTATGGTGCTGATGTCCAGCAGGTATGTGTTTTACTTGAGCGTATTTACCAGTAATTCTTTAAAAGGAAGACTTTTTTCTTCCCAGGCTTTTCAGATGCTACAAACTTCTCATAGTGCAAGGAAAGATGTTCCTAGTGGCAGCAACCATTAATTCAGATGAACAGAAATAAACAGAAACTCTGAATGTGCACAAACCACTTTTTCAGACACAGAATGTCACAGGGCTCAGTCTGTGTGAGTCAGAAGTGTTGTCCCTTGAGGGCTGAGTGATGGGTGCTGGGCAGAGCACACCCAAGCAGGAGTGTGGCAAGGACAGGTTGCAGGCTCGGCTCTGCACAGGGCAAGCTCGCTGGAAGGGCTTGAAAACACACACACACACTCATGTTGCACCCATGTTTGGGGCGAGTGACACCCAGGAGGGGTCACAGAAGCAGCTTGTGACATCCCAGTGTGGGGCTGCTCTAGTTTTGTACTGACCCTCTGCCAGGACCAGCTGGACTCCATCTACGCTGGAGGGGTGGCTGCTGTCACCCCGCCTCTGGATGATGGAGAAAGGTAGGGCTTGGGGGGACCACAGTGATACAGAAGCAAAGACATCCTGAGAGCTGGGTCTCATCTGATTTTCAACAGGTTGGCATTTACATTTTATTTATACATTTAACAGAAAACAGGTAATCAGCAGTAAGACAGGTCATGAACCAGCAGTAATATAACATAGATCATACCTGATGTAATACTTACTGTCAGGAAAACTCTGTACATAAGCCCGAAAGATACCATGCATGGAGTAAGCATGAGAGATCGCTCCCCAGGTGCTATCTCAGGGAGCTCTTGACATTCTGTCAGCAAGTGAATTTTACCATTTAGTTCACATTCCTCCTTACCCTGTAAACAATTGTTTTGGATGTAAACTGTCAGGAAACACTATGATGGGACAAATGCTCCGGGCTGTGCAGAGGCCATGCCAAGCTTAACTCCAGCGGTGGCCAGGTCTTGGGGCTACATCTGCATGGCTGCCTGTCACTAGGGCAGATGGGCACACAGCTCTTTTGGGCAGGGCTCTTCAGCGGTCGCAGCTCAAGCATCCCTTCCCAGGACACGCAGCAGTGCCCAGCACAGGCACTCAACCTCCACACTTGTTTTTACTCATTCTCCTCATGCTTGACTAAAGACTTTTCAGTCCTGAGTAGGAACAAACCTCTGCACATATGGCTGCTCAGTTCTCCTCTAGGTTGAGCTCAGCTGTGAAGGCCAAGTGGACTTTCAGACCTTTCCAGGTGGAAAATCAGGAGTAGATCTATAGTAGCTAATTTTACCTCTTGACTTGTACATGGAAACAAATAACTCAGTGCATTGATGTCCACTGGGTTAATATGAGGTTAATATCAAGGCTGCATTCCTTTTTCAGCTTCCCTTTCCAAACACAGGAATGGCTCAGAGATGCTTCTGATATTGCAGTATGAATCAGGCAGGGACAGTGGGGCTTGGTATATTACCTTAATCATTAAAACATTTCATCAATTCCAGAGCAGGAAATACATAATTTTTTTTAAAAGCACAGAGCCCAAAATGCAGAACTCCTCTTCTGCAGGCAATCGCCTTACCAGGGAATGGTGGAATATGTCACAATTCATATTACTGAGTGGCCAATCTACACTTGAACTTTTAGACCATCTTCTATTGCCTCCACTGCTAAGGCTCAGTCCAAGCTCACCAAAAAGTAATTCCTGTTGCAGTCGTGTGAGAGTGCTCCCATGCAGCAGCAGGCAGCCATGGGAAGCGCAGGCTGCCTCACATGCTGCTGCGTGCTGAACAAGGAGCCTCCAACCACTGCAGCTGGGTGGCTGCATGGGAGCAGAATGCCCTTCCCAAGCTGCTCCCTTCCCGTGGTGTAACACTGGAGTCCTCTGGGACCTGTGGAAATGGGATAGGTCTGATTCCAACATCAGAGAAACTGCTTGTGGGACACTGCAAAGGTAACACTCCTAGTGATGCATCTAAAAGCCATATTGTTGCTATGAACTGGACCACTGCAGGAGACACAGATTTCCTTTCTTCACTAAGGCCATTAATTCCCAACTGCTTTCTGCAGCAGTCCTAGTTTGTGCCAGCCTTGCCTTTCCTGGCTCAGCCCTTCCCTTAGCTGGCACAAGTGTCTGTACAACAGCGGGGTATCAGAGCCACCAGGACTGTATTCAAACAAAACTTGAAAGAATACTGAAAAAAACAAACAATGCAAACAAACAAACAAAAAAAACAACCAAAACAAATAACCCACCAAACAAAAAAAAACAAACAAAAAAAACAACCAAAAAACCCAAACAAAAGAAGATGTTAATTTTAACCTGGATCAGTTCCTCAATCCTGTGCTCCACATTATCAGGAGTAAAGTAAAACATCAAGTAAAGAAATGATACAAAGGGAGAGTGATGATCAAATGATGTGTGAAATGACAGCCTGAACTATAACTGCATGGACATAAACAGTCTCAGTCACTTGACTTTAGACAATATAAAAGATCCTTTTTAAGCTGTCAAGTATTTTTATAGCCTTAAATCACTGTTTCTCTCTCTGAAACAATCTCCAGTAACGGAGAGTGGCAACAGTGGCACAGGAAAATGAGACCAGTACCGTATGTGTATGGGGACAGCATATTGTACGTACATATATGTATACTGTACATACATATGTGCATGCACAGCAGCTCTTGTCTGTGTGTCCAGCCTTGTCCTCTGCTCCCTGAGCTGTCCAGGAGACCCTGGAAGGTCAATGCTGTGTTTTCTTTCCTGACTTCTAGCAGAAGGACTCTGCTCAAAAGAATGAGGATTTAGAGGTGAGGTGGTGACAGGTAACCCTGGGTGATGTGTGTCCTGGCTCGCACACACTGCTTGGACTGGAGCGGATTTATTCCAATCACAACTCCTACCTCCTGGAGGACTCCCCAAGGGGACGAGCCCTATGTACAGGAGGAAGAAGCTCCAGCACTGCCAGCCAACCCTTCACTCCCGATATTGCCCTTCTGCATTATCTGCTTCCCAGTTTCTGGTGGGAGAGAGACCAAGGCTGGCGGTTCTAGGCTCACTGCAGGTACATTTTCATCTTTGGCATCCAATTCTGACTATTTGAATGGAAAACAAAAGAAGCACTAAGCTGTCACATACAAAGTGTCCTGGCCATGTGGTCCAGGTTACCAACACCACTGAGCACCACTGAGCTAACTGTACTGTGGGAGCTGACACCTGGAGAGCAGGTTTTGCTCCTTCTGGAAGGTATCACCAGGGATTCCTGCTGGGATGAAACATGGCTGTGTGCTGTCAGTGACCCAAGTAGGGCAGGAAAGCTCCTTTTTGGCCATGGGATGTTCAACCAAAGAAGGGAGATGGGAGCAGCCCAAAAGCAACTTGACCTTCAGTCTTGCAGAGATCACATGAGACCCTGTGCTGCTCTGGGGTTTCTGAGATGCTCTTGGTTGAGCAGGTCAGTGTGGTCCTTTCCTCAGACCAACAGGAAGATGACTGCAACACTGTTATAAAAACCAGAAATAACTGAATCTTCTGGAGCTGCAGAGTCCTACAGCTCCAAAAGTGATATAAACTTGTCAAGTGTCCCCATTGCTCTCAAGTTGTAAAGAAACAGGACAGAGATAAATGTAGGGGAAAGTGAGAGATGTACTGCAGGGTTGGTATTTCAGGGTATGAATTTCACTTTTAATAAAAAGCAAGGTCCTGGAGTTTGGGGAGAACCTGCACTTAGTTCCTGGGTCTTTGCTGCCCTTTTTATTTACAGAAAAAGCTGCAGAAAGTAGTTGTTATTTTAGACCTGAATATTTTCTATGCAAGTGCTACTGCCTACCAGAGAGTTGGGTTTTCTTTTTTTTTTAATGATGGCTAATTTTGTGTTTTGAGTAGGAAGCTTCAACTTCACACCAGTTCCACACATGCTCTTCTGCTATCCAACAGCCTGGGCAAGACAACCTGCAACCAAGACATTCCTCCACTAACCTCTATGGCTTTTATTATTGCTCACCTTACTGTGGACTTTGAGAAGACATGGGGACTATCTGAAGCAGTTTAAACTTATTTAGTCTTTAAAATGTCACTGGGATGCAGGCAAGTGTTCCTGTATATCCACTCAGCTCCAGTTTTGCTTCACTGGTTGTTCTAACCAATGAACAAAGCAGGGAAGAAAGGGCCAGGTGAACTGCCCACAGTGCAGGGAGCCTGCCTCTCCCCCAGCCTGCATTAACCACCTCTGCTCCCACTCCAGACCCCTTCCGAAGTCCCTTCCCCACACCTCTGTGCTGCTTGTCCTGCATCACCCCAGTGCTCACAACAGATAATACTCTAAGCACCACCCCATCTCACCCATGTGTACGGTGGCAGGGAGCACAGAGGCAGTGTCAAGGGAGGGAAAGTCTCTGAAAAGCAGCAGATTTAGCAATGTCTTGCACACAAAGCAAGTCCTAAAGCAGCAGCCAGTGTGACCCAGCAGCCAGAAGTGACCCAGCCCCAACATCCCCCCTTGTCCGTCTGTCTGCCTTGGCACAAGGGAAGAGGCAGTGGGCAGCTCCAGCACCAGCACCCTCAGCCTGATTAATGGCTTATCCACTGGCAGCAATGAGGAAGAATAGTGCTTGGTTTCATCCCAGCATCTGCCTGCCAGGCTTGCTCTTTAAACAGGCTGTCAAGCACAGATAGCTGTTGAATCAATGTGAATTTTATGCTATAGCCTGTGCCTGGTAGCTGTCAATGACACCTCTGCTGGCATGGGGTGGGCTGTGCCACTGTACACCGGGATGGATCTGGGCTATGAGGGAGAGGATGGGTACCAGTGCTGACTCTTCAGTGCCCATCTTGGATGACTGTGAGAAAGCAGCCAAACAGGAAGACATAAAGAGATGGCATCTCCGTGTTGCCACTGCTTGCCTCCCCAGCCAGTGCCAAGCATGCATGTTGCCAAGCACAGAGGAGAGTTTGGGCATACTACGGTTCGTCAGTCCTTTGGATGAGATGTGAAAGCAGGGCCCTCCTCCACCAGCCTTGCCAAACCTGCTGCGTGTCCCAAACAGATTATGAAAATCAGCCACCATCCAGATCACTGTCTCCTCAGCTTCTCATGCGCACCCCAAGGCTGTAAATTGCTGTGGATAATAGCCATGATGTTTATCTGGACTGTGGCTGCCTGCCTGTGCTTGCGCGGAGGGTCCGGTGGTTGATGGTCCCATTGGAGAGGTGACATCTGGCTACTTGGAGCTTGTATACTTGGTGACAGCCTTGGTGCCCTCCGAGACAGCGTGCTTGGCCAGCTCTCCTGGGAGCAGCAGGCGCACTGCCGTCTGGATCTCCCGGGAGGTGATGGTGGAGCGCTTGTTGTAATGGGCCAGGCGGGACGCTTCTCCAGCGATGCGCTCAAAGATGTCATTAACGAAGGAGTTCATGATGCCCATCGCCTTGGACGAGATGCCAGTGTCGGGGTGGACCTGCTTCAGCACCTTGTAGACATAGATGGAGTAGCTCTCTTTCCTGCTCTTGTGCCGCTTCTTATCACCCTTCTTCTGGGTCTTTGTCACGGCTTTCTTGGAGCCCTTTTTTGGGGCAGAGGTGGACTTTGCTGGCTCTGGCATCCTGACAGCTCTTTCTCTGGGTCTTGCAGCTGCTTGGAAAGAACACCAAAAAATAAAATTGTTTTTTATTCTTCTACATTATAGCTTTACTGAGAGATGAGAGAGTCTGTGTCAGAGACAAGAGACGGCTCTGAATGGAGATAAGCACCCCATGACCCTCTGCAAGCATTTCTGAACTGCCAGTGAGAGCTGCTCTGGTTTGTGCTTGGCTTTCTGTTGTTTTCAGTTTAAATCCCCATAACACTGGCCTTGTAAGCACTGATGAACCCAGGCCTAGTTGGCATCTACTTAGTAAATATGGGCAGGAGGGTGAACGTATTTCTGAAAACATCACTGCAGTTCCAAACAAAACACTAACTGCAGCATGGATTAAACTAAGTCTTGCTGGAATGGGCTGGAGAATGTTGTAAGATATCACCTTTATATGAGACTGGTTGAAATTATTTTATATGTTATTACAATCTCCAATAGACCTTTTTTTTAATTTGCATGTAAGTAAAAGCTTATTTTGAGGGTGCTTGCATTTCTGTGGCTATTGTTTTATACCATGTATTCCAGTAGTATATAAAAATCATACAGTTTTAAGTTAGCTAACTGAGCTCCAGGAATCTCTCTCAGTGTTCATGTTAGTTACCAAAAATACCAGAGAGAAGAAAAGCTCAGAGGAGATGGCAGGATTCACCTGGCAGAGGAACAGGAATGTGGATAGCAGTCAAAAATCAAAGCGCTTCTGGGCTATTTGTTGATGGAGAGGAGCTACACGGACTGGAATTGTGTCCTGCTCTTCGGTGTTTTCTGCTTTTGAGGGATCGGGCCTCTGCTGACCAGTTTACATCAGAGATGCTTCATCCTCTCGCTGAATTTTATTTCATTAGGCCACAACCTGCAGAGCCCTGACATGCAGCCGACTGCTGTAAACCAGAAGTGCAGTAACAAAAGGACAGTATGTAAACCTGTCACAAAGCTGGGTGCCCCTTTCCCACTCCCCAGATTTACATGTGCTTTACTATGTGGGTCAAAGGAATAACTGTGTCAGAACCTGGTAAGTGGTTCTGTGTTTCAGAGGACACCTTGAATGCTCCTTTGAAAGGCAAGGTTTCTCCAGGCTTTGCTGGAGGATCAGCTTCCAGCAGCACCTCAGGGCTTGGGGCTTTTACTGCTCTGCACCTCCTTTCAAGATGACCTAGGAATTAGTCTGCTGACCAAGACAGGCTAGAGGAGAAAAAACAGCTTCAGGGCTGATGGCACATGGGAAAATGGATAGAAGTAAACAGGAGAGAGAAAGCTGGGATGTAACATATGGTCTGTACACACAGAGCATCAGAGAGGGGCCTAAACAGTGCCGGTGCCAAAGCAATGGCTGCGTGCTCAGCCCTGCCTCTCCTCCTTGAGAAGGAATGAGATACTGGCTTCTGTCTTGGCCTGGTTTCTCCACTGTTGCCTGCATCTGCAATCAAAGTGTGACACAGCCACCTCATCCTGTCTTAATTTCCCCAGGAATTCTTCTCACTGGAGGCATTTGGAAAGGCAAGTGCTGGACTGCCCCAAAGTCCTGGACACCCTTCAAAAATCTGGCACCTGAAACACCACATTTTCTTTTTCTGGTGAAACCATGTTTTTTTTTCCCTCTCTTCTTCTACTTGGGAAGAAACACTGGGAAAAAAAACCCTCTATCCCTCTTGTCTGCAGACTCAAATCCAGATCTTTTCAATGGAAAGGCATTTTTCCAAGAGAAGAAGTAACTGAGCACTTGTTTCTTTTTCTCTTCAGTTAATTTCCTGACTGAAAAACACCAGAACTGAAAAATTTACTGTTTCTTCGGGTTTTTTAAAAGTGTGTCCTTCTAAAATATGTATTAAGTACATTTGTCCTGTAGCTTTTGAAGAATGAATATGGTGCCTAACAGGCCCCAGAGTGATTTCATACATCTCCAGAAAATGTCCCACTACAGGACACCTCCATCCATTTGACTGGCTAATGCCAGGCAGGGCAGCCAGGATCTCGCTCTTTTCCCATGTACAGTCAGGATGAGGGAAGCAACGATGCTGAAGTTCAGAGATTTGTACAAATGCTTCAGTGTCCTTGCTTCCCTCCACCCATTTCTTTGCAGCCTACTGTTTAACAGGTAAATAACACCTTCTTTGGCAACAGGCTACCTTCCTTCCAGGTTGTTTGGGCAGTGCCTAGCACAAAGAGCCTGACTGCATTTGCCAGGCGCTAAACAAATAATGTTAATAATGGTTGACAGTATCACCAACCCTTCTGGCAACAATCCATGGGCAGCTGCTGCTCCGGTGTGAAGATATGAAGAGGTTAGTAATTGTTAGGTTTGTGTTTGAAGTGTTGCCATCACTACTGACTTCTCTACAGTGAGGGTGACCCAGCAATGGCACAGAATGCTCAGAGAGGTTGCAGGGTCTCCATTCTTGGAGATACTCAAAATCCACCTTGATGTGGCGCTGAGCAACCCAACCCTGCTCTGAACATGGGCTGGACTAGATGCTGTCCAGAGGTACCTCCAGCCCCAGCCATTCAATGACCCTTGGAGACTGAAGCTGGGCACCTCTCACCTAAACACGCTTTATGAGCTGCATTCCTTTGACGGACATTTCCTACATGACACTGCAACCAGAGCCTCCCACAGGGACCCCTAAGGAGGGAAGATCATAGAATCATAGAATAGTTAGGGTTAGAAAGGACTTTAAGATCATCAAGTTCCAACCCCCCTGCCATGGGCAGGGTCACCTCACACTAAACCATATCACCCAAGGCCTCGTCCAACCTGGTCTTGAACACTGCCAGGGATCTCCTCCTTTTCAAGGCCAGGTTGGACAGGGCTTTGAGCAACCTGGTCTAGTGGAAGGTGTTCCTGCCTATGGCAGGAGGTTTGGAACTGGATGATCTTAAGGTCCTTTCCAACCCAAACCATTCTGTGATTCTATGATGCTATGATCTCCAGATGAAAACCACTGAGGTCCCTGGGACACAGGGTATGGCCATGCAAGAGGAGGCACTCGGACGCATCACAGTAATATTTGGAAGGTTTTGGGTTTTTTGAAGAAAATCTTTGAGCACATTTTTCCCTTTATGGTTTGTATGCTGTGAGTCAACCCATTATCAGTGCTGGCACATTTTCCTTCCTCAGAAAACCAACAACAAAACAAACCACAGCGTTTTTTCTAGCCAGCTCCAAGCAGCAGCCTGCCTGCCACTAGAAACCAGAGCGGCACAGAGTGACAGATACATCTTATCTTCCTTTGTGTTGACACCCCTTGCTTCAGCATCATTAAAAGGAAAATGAACTGAAAACATATTCAAAGATACAAATCACCACAGTCTCTCAGATCTGAGCTGGGAGAGGAGCCCTGCTGAGAAATCCCATGAGCAGCCTGATGCTGTCTCTGTTTTCCCCAGGCCTGATATATTGATGGAGAGAGAGACAGGCCAGGAAGCTCCCACAGCATTTTTGTTCATTTTTAGCCTTGCTGATGAGTCTGTAGGATCAATGCCAAGCAGGTGCCAGCAGGGATGACCACAAGTGGACTATCCGTCAGCCTTTTGGATCTTCCCTTAATCGAGGGTAGAAATAGCACTTTGATTTTTTTCCTTCTTTTTCCCATTAAAAGCTGTCCTTGCTGTGATGTGCTCTGTGGCCCCCACTGTAAATCCCTATGTCCACTGGGCCCTCACTGTAAATCTCTACTCCCACTGGGTTGCCCCCATGCTGTAATTTCCTAATCAAATGTAAAAGTTGGTTTCTAGAATCAGCACTTTGTTCCTAAGAGGTTAATGTGAAAAATTAAACATTTGTAGGAAAACCTCAAGCTCTCATCTTCAGGCATCTGATAATCTGATATTTGCTAATCTTCAGATGATCTGTTTTAATCCTTGCTAGAGTAAATGAGAGCCAACAGGCACTTTGTGTTTATTCTGCTCCTTAAATAGCCATGTCCTGTTAGTTCTATCTAATTATTGTCCCTTTCCTTAGTTTCTCTTGCTGTATAAAATTAACTTGGTTTTAATTGTACACATAAAGAAATGTAAAGTGAAAATTTGCTGCTGCTTTTCAGTTCACTCTCTCTGAAACACAAAGAACGGCAACATATTAGGGAATGTTTCCACTGAAAGGAAAAGGCTTTTTAATGGCTTCATCTGCTCCGAAAAGCTTGTAAGAGCACAGACAGCAGATCTGGTAAATACAGTTACAAATTACCAGATGTCAGCAAATGACTCTTGTTGGAACAGCCTATTTCTGCAAGCTGCAAATCCCCTCCCTTTTATGGTGTACAGACATCAACCTGGAATTTCTTATACAAGAATAATACAAGCTCATCCAACAGGTGATATTAAATAGCAATAGGCGAGAAAACAAGCTGTAGGGTTTTTTATGGTTACTTGGTAGCAAGCTCTGCCTCAGGTAGTAAAGCAGATCAGAAGTGGGATGAGTCACTGTGAGACATCAGTGATGCTGCCTTGTGCAAAAAGTGACAGTCACATTTTGGACTGGAAAGAGTTCTTCTCTTGGCATGTTGTCTAGCATGTGATGATGAGGTAATATTTGCTTTGAAGTAACGAGGAGGAGAATTTCCTAGAATAAGGTAAACTAGTCTGAAATGCCTGATTTCTTCCAGTGGTGGAGGGACACAGAGATTAGTTTTGGGGTCTCTGGTCTCCTCCCAGGTAATCCAGTATCCATGTGGCCCCTTCCCAATCCCACACACTCTGCTGTATTTTATATGACTGCTCCTATAAAGTTATCATTTAAATGGCTGACTTTTAAACTTGGATACACACAATCCTTCTAGTGAAAAGATTAATGCTTGCATCTTGAACCATAAAAATGTGTTAGAACCGAAGATGCCCCCTCTTCCTTAACTTACAAACTCACTTCCTGATACAGATACACTGTGTTCAAAATGAAACAAGCAGAACAGAGCACTGAGATACACTGGTACATAGCTTTTTGACTGATCCTAATCACTGCTTGCGAACACATTGCCTGCGAGCTCAGTACAGGATACTCCCTGCA